CACTTGACTCGCATAAATAATTTTGTTCGAACAACATTTCAGTTGTGCTTCGCAGCACTTCACTTGCAATTTGCAATTTCTAGTTATTATTATTATACACACAAGCCAAATCATTACTAAAAATTCAACTCACTATATCAAAATTATGTTCCATTCCAAGAAGAGTGATAAGAGCTGGAACGACTTGTTTAATGGGGAAACCCCCTAATGTGTCTTCATTCCCCATGACCAGTAACTGACACATCTCAATCACACTTTGAAGCTGCTGACTCTCATCGCCAGTCGCTTGCAGGCCACCGAGAAGTCGGTGGGCTTTAGTGCTCACTCCAGTACCCATACTGCGGTGAAGAAGTTGATGCATACGAGGCTCAAGAGCGTGGAATAATTCCGGTGGTAGACCTCGGGCTTCTAGCATAGCTGCAATAAAGCATATGGTAGATTTCGTTAATCATTTATTAATTATATTCATAAATTTTACTGTAGCCTAATGATACAATAAATTATTATCTGATTAATATATAATCATTATACAAAAAAAATAATCAAAACTATATATACACTATAAGCGTATTTTTTTGTATGCATTGAAAGGTTTTTTTATTTTTAAATTTCTTAAAAAATTATAAAAAATTGGTTTGTTTTAAATATCAAAAACTATTATCAAAAAGAAATCTAATAATCACATTAACATTCTATGCTTTATTACTTTCCTTTACATTTTGTCCTTGTTTTCACAAATAGAGAAAAGAAAACCGTGAAAACCATGTAGGAACATATTGGAAAAATCAAATAAAACTTTGCAGAAGGTAAACCACATGGTCCATGGATGTAACAATAGAGTGTTGATTAGCCTATATTTCAACATTCTGAATAAACTGCATGATTTCTCTACAAAACAAAGAATGGTGATAAAACCACTTTAAGATGTTAAATATAATGACTAGGATGGAACCCAGTGCTGATAATATAAATTATCAATGTTCTTTACAAAAACCTTCAATTAAAATTAAACGTTTATTCGCCATGCTAACATTAAAACAAAAAGCCAAATATAAGAGTTATTACAAAGACAACAATAATAATTACACGGTGCATTAGTCGGAACATATTATTAGGCCCTAATCAAAGATAACTGAATCATTTTGAATCATCATTAACTATTATAAAAAAAATCAAAATGTTATGAACCATAAATTATCACATCATGTATATCAAGACATGAACCACACTCATGTAAAAAAGTTTGTTTTCAAAGTGCTGTATAAAATTTAATAAACAATTTAAATAACAAGGACAGATTTAGTATTTAATAAAGATTTTTTCTAGTTATAAAAAAACGTAAAACTTGTTCAAATGTTAAATAAAGCCATATACTGTCTGTGTTCAAAATCTAGGGGAAACATCTCAAACAGAAGAAACATTTTCATGTTCTAATATAAAGCTAATAATTAACCTAAATCTGAATATTATTTTTTCCTGTTTACTTTCAAAATAGCCAACACAGACGGTATATGTTTTGTTATTGTTTACCTTCAAATTCTTCCTCTGTTAAAGGTTCCTCAACTGTCATTATATTTATACCTACATCAGTCAAATTTATATTTTCAATCATATTCTTTTTAAATTTACATATTTTAATACTATAAATAATTTCACCAATGGATTTGACAGTCTGCCCATGAGAGACAACGGTAGAAAAAAGGCGATGTACTATATAATGGAAAACATTAGTAATGATGACTAAGACAGCATGGTGATCTAATGAGCATTACTATATCAAGATAATTGATTCATTAGAAAAATGATAATTTAAATTTCCTATTTAATTATTAATTCTACACAGTACAAGGCAAATATTACAGAAAGGTTTGGGAGTTCACTATGCTTATTTTTTGCATGCATGAACATAACACCAGATTCTATAGCTATGTGATGGTGCTGTACCTGCTGAAATATGGGACTCCACAAAATTGACAGTAGAATGAACTACTTCAAAAAATAAGTTGTAGATGGAGCATTTCTATTTCGACCACCAGATTGCAGAGGGTGCACTTCCATAGCATAACTACAGATTTGATACATGCTACAGCAGAGTGGGCTTTGGACAAGGGTGCAGTAAAGCTAAGGAAGTAATGAAGTAAGGACAAACTCACCCTGAAGTCTTCCCATATCAGTGTCATCGCCATCAGAATCTAAGGCACTTGCTAGACTGGCACCGTTTCTTCCGCTTGCTCCTGATGCTACAAATTTGTAAATATGAAAAAAAAAAAAAAAACCGGGCATAAAGAATGGATCTGAAAATTCATGTACAAATCAGTGGTGGCACCAAAAATTTACTTGACAGGTGGGCCACGGCCAACTCAACCCCCCATTGGGATTGAGTTAATCTTAATATTCTATGCCAAATAATTCTTACCCAAAAGTTACACAATACTTAACTGGAGAGGATGCAGGGGAAGGGGGAGGGAGTGCAGGTGGTGTGATCCCACCCCTAAATTATATTAAGAAAAATAATTGTCATATTATATTGTTGACATGAATTACTCGCCATCGTGTTGGGATTCAATATTTCGACATTAATTATGTCATCATCAGGAATCAATTTCCACATGAATTACTGGTAAGACTTTTAAGGTACCGCCAAATCCTGCATCCACCCCAATACAATAAGGACTACCTATAGTAGGTTCAATTATGTTTATGAGATACAATAGTACATGATTGTAGTTAGTGAGAAAAAAATTGAGATTTTTTTTTCTTTAAATAGAAGGGACTGCACTATAGTAGGTTCTATTATGATTATGAGATATAATAGTACATGATTGTAGTTTAGTGAGAAAAAATTAAGTTTTTTTTTTCTTTAAATAATAGAAGGGACTACACTATAGTACAGTTGGTTCTATTATGATTATGAGATACCATAGTAGTTAGATTGTAGTTTTTTCCTTTTAATAAAAGGGGATCTATAGCTTCATTCATCCTATGTTGTGTACATTACACTTGCAATTTATACTGAAATCTCCTATCTTTCCAAAACATAATTCGCGAATAGCAACTTCAAAACTGCCACCCAAAAAAAAAAATTCATAAATAACATAAAACTTCAAATTTGCTCATTTACAGTACCCACATAAGTTATCAATTTTCAATAAGTTACACATAAAAAGAATGATTTACAGGACATTTTTATATGAGCTTGTTTAAAATTTGCTGGCAGAAGTCTAAGAAACACGCAAGCGCTATAGGAATGGGGTTTTCAAACAAGATTAATTGTTGATAAACATGTTCTCATTTGAATTTTCAAGGTTTTTATTAGTGGCAATAGCTTTATACGTTTACGTTTATTAATAATCACCAGTTGTGATTGAATTTGACGAATATTGCTCTTTTTCCCATCATAAATTTTAGAAGCAGTAAGAAGCAGTTACAAGTACTCACAGCTTGCATAATATTCCCATGTATCATAAAAAAATAATTTTTTCAGAACATTTTTTTTGTACTTTTGTATGACATACAAATTATAGGAGTTCAGTTGGCCTACATCATTGTACAATAGTTGTGATTCTCCTGTAGTACTAGAAACTTTACATTGGTACATTCGTGAAACTACTGAATAAATTGATAATTAAAAAATAGAAGTATAACACTTCAAAACATGATCCAAAAAAACCTCTATAATATTAATAAGTTGAACTAACTGTAAATACAAAAAATATTTGTTTTAAACCAACATTATTGATTGATAAATTAAAGAAAAAACACAGTGTCCATTGTAAAACAGCCTGAAAAATGTACTCAAGTCATTGGCAAGTAGCTTCAAATGATACTAACTTTTAGGCTATCATAATACAAATGCTTACCGTAAACACATAATAGACATTGTTCTAAAAAGCCATACTGTACAGTATCACCTGTATCGTATCCTATAGGATTCTGTACCACAGCCTGAACATACTTTTAGATGATGATGTCATGATTCCATGTGACTAACCTGCAGACAATGACACTGACTTCCATCAGCGCTAAATAATTCTAGACAAAATCAATCTCTGATTGTGCAGAGGCTAGGCTATAGTGGGCCTTACATATCACTTGATTGAACTACCCTAGTTCCTCTTTCAAAGCCTCATTGAAACACTCTGCGAGTATTAAGCCTAATGAATGTGTTATAACACTTCCTCAATTGTATAAAATTATACAGATGTGAACACAGCCTTGACACGAGACAAGAGATGGCTCACTCACTGTACACATAGCAAAATATATATACGGTCTACTTACACTATACAGACTTATTCCCTCTATGGATAATGGTTAACAATATAGAATACAGTATTTCAAATCAATCTATTTATAGTCCTTAACAATACGATTTGCAAATCTACTGAGACAACATGAATTCACAATGTTGGCAAAAGAACAACGTAGTGGTTAATAAAAGTTAACAGTCTATATGCAGCCAACCTCTAATATGAGGAGCAAAAAGTCAGGCCTCTCTTTCTCTCTCTCATTAACTCCAACCTGGCCTCTCAGTATTATGGGGGAAATACTGGTAAATTTCTAACTATGACGTTGACTCATGTTTTGTACTTATAGCCACAAGCAGATGAAAAATATCAGTATAAATAGAGTCTCCAATTTACAAAATGGTCTTTAAAGGATTACAAACATAATTTCTAAACATGCCATATGTTGAATAGTCATTAGGCTACTGAATATATTCATGATGAAAAATTTGCATCAATTGGCTAGATTATTTTCAATTAATATAAAGAACATTTATCTTTGGCAGAAAACCCCACACTGAGCCTACAGTACACGTCACATTCAGACACAATCCCATTAAATTAAAAGCTCCTAGAAAGCTTGTGATGGAAAACAAAATCACCACTTTACAAGAAAGTATTTTAATTATCCCATTTTAAAATCAACTGGAACATTAAATACTACTTAAAATAGAATTCTCAAATACTATGAAAGTAGATTCCAGCAGATTATGAGATATAAAGAGGTTATTTATTTCCGAAACAGCTAATTACTGCATGGCCTATCACCCCATGAATATGTGGAGCTGGGCTTAAGCAGTCAGAGAAAACAGAAAAAAACAACAAGCAGTAAACAGAGACTCTGGACCTCTTAGTTGAAGGTTTTGAAGGTAGGAGCCGTTGGCGCACCGGTTGTGGTTTGGTTTGGACTCCCAACCTTGAGGTCGGGGGTTCGAAACTCTGGCTGTGCAAATCGCTTGTGTCCTTGAGCAAGGCACTTTATCTACGGTTGCCGCTCTCCACCCAGGAGTACAAGTGGGTACCTGGTAGGTTCCAACACAACCTGCGCTGATTACTCGCTGCAATTTATGGAATGATAATATAATTTCATTTACTAATTTAATATGGTGTTTCAATGTGTTCCATATGTGTTTGATCCAATGACCGGGGTAGTAATGTGAAGCGCTTAGAGGCCTTGTAAAGGCATGAAGCGCTATATAAGAACGACATATTATTATTATTATAAAGTAAACAAATTTATGAAAGCAGTGCCAGCAATCTTGTTGATGCTGGCTTACCGTCCGTCGTTTGGTAAAATTCACGAGAAAGTCAGTATTTAGTTTTATCAACAGAATTAACAAGATCTGTCTCTTATACACATCTAGATGTGTATAAGAGACAGGTTTATCACCCTATCAAAGAATAAAAACTGATGAGGCAGGGAGGTTTTTTTTTTTGTTTTTTTTTTGCTAATCCCGCCCCCATTTTCCCCGATGATCCCTAGTAAATCAATGGTTAGAGACAATATATAAAAATTCATAAGAATGTAATCAAATTTATATTTAAAAAATATGTTTTTGTTGTACCAGTAAGTATATTTGCAAGAAACCCTGAGCTTTTCAAATAAAAAAAAGGACCGTTTGAAATGAAAATATACAGTATGTTGATTGAAAAAAAAAAAAAAAAAATCAGATTTTTCCCAAAAGTGATGAGGGAGCGGGTGATAAACTAATAATTTTTTTTATGGGGCCTTACATCTTTACCAGTTTATCATTAGATATACTGTACGGTGGTTGAACCATCGGAGGGTTAGATGGAACTTTCTCCCTTAACTGTTCCGTTAGATTACAGCAAGCTTGTTCCCTATAAGTACAGTATACGTATCAGTTAATGTACCATCGGATCTTGATTCATTTTGGTGCATCTGGACATCAGCATGCATTAGCATCTTCTCCTCCTTAAGTAGGCAAGTCTTTATTAGTTGGTTTTCGTCAATGATACTGCAAAATGTATTCATTATAGGTTTTCTAATGTTTATTTGATGTCTACCTTTTCTTTTCTGCTGTCATTTTCAAACATTAACATTTTCTGGAGACTGTCATTATCCATTCTCACAATATGACCATATACCAATTGAGCTGGAGTTTTTGAAAATCTTTAAATTCGTCATTTTGGTCATTTTATAAATATCATTAGTTGAATAGACATAGCACCGGTCTATTTCCTCTGTCCTATTATCTACAGCCATTTGAAATCATCCGTAGCAGGAAGTTAACATATATAGACTCCATAGTTTTAAGTTCACCATTAGTTATACTCCATGTTTGGCACCTATATGTTATACAGGTTCATTTAGAAAGACAAGTCTTATTTTAAGTTCTATCTTTTGGTTTTTAAGAAATTGTTAATGTTTAATGAATGCTCCAATATCAGATGTCCCTTGAGTTTGTCAGAACAAATATTAATTTGCCAAACTTTGTTATTGTTTGCAGTTCCTTAAAATGTGGTTTAAAATTCAAAGCACAATTTCAAACCATCCTAAATCTAAAATTTCTCTCCTCAACAACCAGTAGGGACTTTAGTCTGGGACCCTGATCAGAACCCCTGGGTAGTAGGGGTTGGACCCCTATTGGACTTTTGAACAGCCTTGTGTAGCCATCACTGTGTACATGTAGATAGACTCATGTTGCATAATAATAATAACAAACATTTATATAGCGCAAATTCAAAAATTTATCAAAGGCGCTAGTTGAGGAAATAAAGCAAGTTAATCTTCCAGTAATAGGTAAATAGTAATATAGTTTTTCAATTTTTCTTAAAAGAAAGCAAATTAGACAAATCGCGAACAAAAAGCGGAAAGGAATTCCATGCAAAGGGGGCTTGAAAAGTAAAAGCATGTTGACCATAAGTTTTTTATTTGCCTTTACAAGACGGAACTGTCAAGAGATTTTGAGGTGGATGACGAAGAGGAATATATTGGGAAAGGTGATGAGTATAATAAACAGGTTGATGAAAGCTAAGTGACTTGAAAGTCAACAAAAGTAACTTGAAAATAGCACATTGTTTTATATTGAGCAAGTGCATGCATCATCAGTTTAATTACGACTGAATGTTATAAAAGGTAAAAACATAAAACAGGATCGATGTTGTTACGGTGGGCAGAAGTGGGTGAGGCCAGCAAGCATTTAAGTTTCCCACCTAGTCCAAAAGCTAATTTCATGGCCCTATACCCACCTTCATTAACCCCTTGATCATCCTTAAAATGCATTCTTATTATTTACAGTTTGCAAATGTTATCGCTCACCCACTCTTAAAATGTCTCTCACCCACCCTTAGTTTTTTACAGCTACAACCCTGATAAAATAAGGAGTACAATATACTGAAAATGAAATCTTGGCTTTCTCTGAACCAGGGCCATCTGAATGGAAGGCAAGAACAATCATGTTTAACCATTTACATCATGGGTTTACTTCATTAAAATAGTAAAATTCCTCACACCCACCGGCCACAGTATGTCCAAGAATTTCCTTACAGCTACTTATAATATAGGTCCAATTTCCAGTATTTTTCAAATACTATCCTCCCAGGTCACATTTTACTGTGTATGCCTAATTTATGCTTTCTCACAAATATTAAAGAGAACAAGTAGGTCTCAAAGGCCTACAAACTTTTCTCATAACCTATGTCTCAGTGCACAAGATTATTATTAAACCCATAGTATAGAATCTCCCTTCCATAGCCTCACCATGAATATCTAAAACCACCAAAAATGAACATGTTATTTCAATCTAATTTTTGACAATGTACCTTTTACCGAGTCTACAGGCTACACAATAACACAGTGATGAAAGAAAAAAAATAGGTAAACAACTGAACCATCCAAATCTCTGATGGAAAACCCTTTAGCAAAAATTTGTTTAAATCAGATATTAAGTATTTATTCATTCCTATATTACTAATAGTATTAGTATTCTTGAATTTTCTTTCATGTTTGTAAGTATCAGACTCCCTCAGTTGATTTTAATACTGGTTATTAAACCTAAGCAGTAAGGGACTGTCTTAGAATACTGCATCATAACAGAAAGCAATTCTTGACCTACTGTGTATAACCCTTCTCCCCAAAACATTTCTCAACAACCCCGGGGATGCATGAGAGTAGGAGTACTTCATAATTTTCACAAGATTAAAAAAAATATGTTTTGGGGGAGGGTTCAATGTGAATTTGGAAAAAGGTGAAGGTCTACACTAAAGTACTATCACTTAACTACAGCAAAAAAATTATTCCCTGCCAGACACTCTCCCTTATTTCCAATTGTACTGTAGTATAGTATAACCCTCAAAAAACCAAATACAGAAATATAAATGATATAATAAAGCATTAAACAAAAAATGTAAAATATTTTTGTACAAAATTTAAATGTACAAAATTTAAAATTTTACAAAAATACTGAAGATAAATAGAATTATAATTACTAGCATATATTAATATTATAAAAATATAGAGTATATAGCATAATAACAAAATTACCTGCTGCTCCTGTGGCCGTTTCGTCACTGCGAGCATTACTACTAGCACCCTCGCTAGTTGTATCATTGCTAGACATAGGGTCTAACTGGCCGGTTCCTCCTGAGTTGCGCTTGCTCATTCCTGAGCTGCGCCTGCCTCGAGTGCTTGCGCAAGTGCCCGTTGTGCTGTCTGTTGGTTTGGTATGCGAATTATCTGCTTTACTACCACTATTTCGGGCTCTGCTTTTACCTACAGAAAAATGTGCAACGTGATTATATTAATGGGTAGCTGGTGGGGTTGCTACAGATTTGAGCCGATACATCAGTAAAATATGTGTATCCACTCAAAGATCAGAGATAAAAATCAAATACAGTACAGACAGAAATTATCGCTTCGTATCTGCGCGTAATCTCTCGTAATCTGCTCGTAGGTACGTTTTGAACATAGCTACGAACCACTACGAAGGTCATTGTTATTTTAATTAGCTTTGCAATGATCGTAGGCTGGATCGTCGGGTTGATAAACAATGCGTAAACAATACTGAAATATAGTTTACCAGCTTTCAACACGTGAGCAATGTTGCAATTTACTAATAAACAATGTTAGAACTTTATTGTTTTGTTATTTCCTACCTTATTATTAGATCAATCATGTTTTAAAACTGTGTTTAGTTCACTAGCTAGGTAACCTAATGGGCCTTCAGTATGTTTGAATTTCGATGTCATTTAGGCCTACGGCCTACATGTTCCCCTATAGAGGAGAGCAGACAGTAATTATACTGGTTAACTTTCCAATTCAGAGAATTTTGATCTGATATTATTCTTCTGCTAGTAGGAATTTTCTTCTTTTAACTAATAATACTGATGACAAATCATGTACAAATTATTATGATTTCTACAGATCACGCTGTTTATTGTTTACCATAATTTGAAGCAGAACCTGCAAAGCGATCCAATACTAATGGAACTATAGAAATCACTACTTTGCCGAATTAAGGCTAGTCATGCTAGATTGCATTTTCTTCGTTTTTTATTCACTGTCGCTCACAGCTTTTCAACATTTGCCACGAGGTTAACCTTTATTAACACACTTTACTGTGTTCTGATTGGCACGCACTCTGATGTCCGATGCTGGATTTTCGGGGTTGACAAGATGAACTGACATTGCTAGTTTTATTTTCCATTGGATATTCCATGTGACATTCAGTAATTTTACAACCAATTGATGTTAACCCTCCTTTATATTTATTATTTATCTTACTAAAATCAAGGCTACAAAATATTATTTGATGAACAATCTCTTCACATGTGTGTATTGTTATTGAGGACATCATTTTTTGACATTTAAGAGGTGAAATAATTGTAAATAAAAAAATTAATTAATTAAAAAACTAATTAATAAAAAAAATAATACAGCAGTACAAACAAGTTCCTGTCGTGGACAGCAAGTGGAAGAGGAGACTCCCATGAAGTCAAGTGTACGTTTTTCTTATTTAAAAACAGCTCCGTACTTTAAATTAATGGTCTAAACTCGTGCTTGTCATTATTCACAAATTATCAAGCAATACATTGTTTATTCCAGTAAGCTACAGAAGTCTTTCTGCACACGGAAACAACATGCTTTTGCTTCATAAGTTCGCTTCGCGTAGCCTTCCTTGGTTCGCTTCGCGTAGCCTTCCTTAGACTGTTTACATCAGGCTACGATGTATCTACGAAGCCTGCGCGCAGGTAAAATTGCAATAATTTGTGGCAGTACTGTACTCACAAAAAGTAATTTTTTGTAATTTTAATGATTTTTATACTCTGTCTTTTTTTAGGTCTTAGTGAGCTTATGGTTGATGGAATAATTACTTTCAAGCATTGCTTCTCATCAATATGGCTTTTTATTTTGTAGGATTTAATCAATCGTATTGTGATTCTGATTATCTATGTATACACACTTATTGGTTCATAATGTGTGGAGCACTGTATTAGTAGCCTCAACATCCATCTTTTTCTATAGCATGCGTTAGTGCATTTGGTCTACAGTACTTACTATAGAATTAATCTTTTAAAAATTTAACCACAATTTTGTAAATGTTGTGCAATTCAGTAATTTCCTATATAGCATGCATTAGCCATTTTTATCTTTACTTTGTTCCTGGAATTGATGCTAAAATGATGCTAAAAACATTTCAATTGATGCATACCTTTAGCGGCTGCAAACTTTACTTTGCCTTTGTTGGCCTGTGTATTGGAAACGCTATGACTTGGCGTTTGTTTAGTTGTTGAAGAACGCAGTTTTAATCGTACAGACTGTCCTGATTTACTTTCTCCAGCACTACTAGTAGTTGCCTTCACTGAGGTTTGACTGTTGCCAACACGTGGCCTAGCACCTACGCTACTCTGGCCACTACTAGACAATTCGACTACCTTGGACTTTTTCTTTTCCAAGTCTGGCTTTGATTTAGAATCTGAAGCCTGTTTATTTGCAGATCCTGTTGCGGTAGACTTTGGTTGGCTTGTTGATCCCCGTGAGGGGACCTTGCCACGTGCTGTACTCGTCTTGATTACTTTTCGCGCAGGTTTGTAATAATCCAACGCTTCAAACTCGCAAGGGTTATTGCGTGTATACGAACGCAGACAACAACAAGTGATAGCGACCTCGTTTTGAGGCAAACTTGATGAGCTCTTTCTTCTGGCAGCACTGTGCTGCTTTAATGTCTTTGTCTTCTTTGCTGCTGGTTCTGAGAGCTCCTGGTCCAGAATGGATTGTTTACTACTCCAATTAGGTTCACAGAATTCCAGTTCACCTGTTTCTTGAGTGGTGTCGTTGAGCAAGGCTTCGATCAAGCTCTGTTGCGGAGCTTGTTCTAACAAAGAGCTTAGAGCAGAGGAAGTGCTGCTATGACTACTGGACCTAGACTTGGAGCCCTTTCTCTCAAACTTCTGTGTGTTGTCACTGGATTCTTTAGGTTGATTGGTCAAACTCTGGTTAACAACAGTTACTCCTGATGGCTCAGTTCTTGTTTTTCTACTCTTACGTGGTCCAAAATTTGAATCTAAAGTTTTGGGGATGTTTGTTTGACTAAGAAACACCGGTGGCGGGTTGTACAGAGTTCTGTGAGTCTCACTTTTAACTCTGAAAGAAAAGAAAACTTTACATTATTTTTAATAACTGTGAATGAATCATCCAGAAAAGCTGATCCTAATTTGGAACCATCATATTCTATTATTAACAAATCTGTGAGGCTTAGAGTAGAAAGCTCAAGATTCAAGATGCACTTTATTTGTCCATTGCCTAAAACAAGTAAATAGGTCAAGTGCTTCTCCTAAAAAATACAAACAGAAGAACAATACAAAGTACAGCAACAAGTATATAAAGATAAGATGGTCTAGTACAGTAGTAGGCTACTAGGAGGACTAACAGCCTACAGTAGGCTGCATGTGGTACTTACTTATTTACTGACTTTATTCATTATTGTTTTTATTATTTAATATTATTATTATTATTATTATTATTATTATTATTATTATTATTACTATTATTATTATTACTATTATTATTATTATTATTATTACTATTATTATTATTATTGTTACTATTATTGTTACTATTATTATTGGTTGATATTGAAAGCTCTGATCACATAATCAAGATTTATGTCACAAATATCTGTGATTTGTTGATATATGGACATCATGATGTCATGCCATGCCCATGGTAAATCACATGTACTGTATTTGTCCATAGAACTTGTAGTGTGGGCAGGACTCAATTTTGTTTGCAACTACAGTTTTTGTTAGGTTAAAGACCACAACAAATTATATAACACTATAAAAATAATAATTGTAACCACTTGTAAATTAGGGTTACACAGCCAATGGGCTGGAAGGTCCCTAAAGTAAAGTAGAGCCTTATTTTTTATAACATTGGCAATAAAAAGGCCCTTGTGAACAGAATGGTTAAGAATGTCAAATAATGAATAGGTGACAGTTGCTATTAGGGAACAATGGTACTTTTCAGATGCACTCAAGTAAAAATGATGGAATGAGGCAAGTCCCTATATAAAAGCAATAAATTCAGGATACCGTATCATAGTTGGTATAACAACAAAGTAGGCCTGGAGTTTAGTGACTTCCACTACGTTGGAAAACTTAATTCACGGTTTTCTTCGGATGATACTGTAACACTTTCTTTATAATTTGGTGTTTAGCGCATGCTACAACAAAGTCTATTATTTTAAGGGGAAAAAAAAAACAACGTTGAATTGCTTATTTACAAGAAACACTTAACCCTCTAGATACCGTCTTCGACTGCAGTCGAAATTGACCTCAAACCGATAATTCCCAATTTCGACTGCAATCGAAATTTCGTGACTAAAAAATAGGTGGTTTTCAAATCGCTCTTTTGTTTTTATTTTAGCTCCAATACGTCAGAAATTTTGAACACGCATGCGTGAAGCTTTTGTTTTCCGAAATCTGTGAAGAACTCACATGCGCTTATATAAAAATTTTTAGAAATATCAATTAGAAATCGTTAATAATTTCAAAAATTTTTCGAAATGGCCGCACAAGATGTGTACACAGCTGAGCAAGCGATTGACCTGATTTTTTATTCAGACAGCGATGAAGGTGAATTTTTAGATGTGCGAGACTTAGTCGTGCCTGT